GTTCAAAGAGAGTTCTTCCTCTCCACGTCGCTACAAGCATGCTTAGTGTGAGGGATTGCTGAAGAGTCAATGAGTCGATGCAATCAACTGGTTTTCCTTAGATAGAAAACTTTGAATCAATTTGACTGGATGATCTGGTGAACTGGAAAGAGCCTTGAGATGAGATGCTGTTAATTGAAGCAATAGAAATAAACTGAATTAAATTAAACATCTGCTGGTTTCTGAGGCTTTAAAAGTGTCTCTGGTCTCCTGTTGAATCTGCTTCTGCAGCTTTTCTTTTAACCAAAAGGTTTCAGATACAGATTTGATCATTTTTTGATCTTATTCATCTCTTTAAATCAGTCTGTCTCCATGTGAAGAATCGTTACCCCTCTCAGCATAATCACTGGTTGTTCCACAGCTAGCAGCAGTAGCTACTGCTACTGTTTCCACTAATAGGTCAGGAGACTTCAACATCCCTGTGGAGGAATGTTAACCCACTTTGATACTCTGAATCGTTTTACAGCATGTTTGAAATTCTACCACAGCATCACAACCAGAGTTTAGTCCAAACTTTATCTGAGCCACACCAAAACCCCTTTTTAAGCCCCTCAGAGGATTTAGGGGCTTTTTGAGCAAATTTTCCTACTTCATGTTGTCTGACAGGTTCCATTCAAGTCATAAAGATCTAAAGATTAAGCTTAAAACTAGATTGATGGTCTTAGACATAATTTTAATTCTAAGGAGACTTTCTACTTTTTCTCTACATATATAAAGTGTTTACTGTTTATATATAATTGTTTTTTTTTTTTTATTAATTTTTTTCTATTTTACTTTCTGGCCAGCTCTTTTAGAAAAAGAAATTGTCGATCTAAAAATACATCAGATCTAGAATAGTGATATTAAACTGGGTTTTAACAGTGAAGTCACCATCAATTCAGGCTTTAAGAAAAGGGTTGATTACATGCTGGTGAAGATTCTCTGTAATCCACGTCATAGCCATTCCAAAAAAAGGTTCAAAAAAACAATCCAATGGACTTTTTCCCAAGTTTGAAAATGTTTTGCTTCCTGTCCAGGAAGCTTTTTCCAACTCAAAATGTCAGAATTAGTGTGAGTTTAAAGCTTTATGAAGCTTTATAACGATACTTATGTTGGTTATATTTTCCTGGTGACCTGTGTCACCCTTTTCTGCAAAAAAGGAAATAATCATTTAAAAACCTTGTTGTGTATATTTATTCTAACCCTGATTTGCTGGTGTTATTGTTTGTTTGATGGGATGCATTTTTATAGTAAGGTGTGAAAAAAGCAAAAAAACAGGGAGAAAGCTGAAAGGAGGTAAAACACTTTTTAGTGACTTTTAAAACTCCAAGCAGATAATTAGAATCTTTGATCGCTCCACAGGATATTCCTGGTAACTAGCCACATACAACATCCTCTTTAGCAAAAAGGTATAGGGGAGGATTTACGCAAATATTTGAATAGACTTTCCACTTGGAAAAAATTGCACGTGAACAACCCTGTACCCACTCCCGAGAGGAGACGCCTATTAAACGCGTGTGAGAGCGTGCACAAGCCCATTTCTGCTTGTGCACGATCTGTTTAAAAGTTGCTGTTTGCGTTGCTCGTACAAGCTTACTTTCTTAAAGAAGATTTGTGATTTTTCCACAATGTGGACGAGCTCGTAGGACGGCCTTACGTAAACATATCACCAGATTGATTGTCAATTAGGAGGACCACTTATTTTGATGATCCACCCAGAAACAGAACATCCTCCACTATACCTTTAAATACTGTTTATGATGGATTTATGTGTTAAAAAACGCCAATCACGCCACCTAGAGATCTAAGAGTTTTCTAAAAGCTCAGAAAACCAGTGGCTGCAGTTTTTAGTTCAACTTGATGGTAAAGTTGGAAATACCTGAAAGACGGAAACCTCTCAATCATGTTTGGCTTGAAGAGAACTCGTTTTTAGACACGTTTTATCCTTTTTTACATATGTGGCCTGTTGCAGCCCAATCCCAAAAGCCAGAAACAAAAGAAAAAAGCAGTTGAACCAGTCGTGCTGCCAGGCCACTGTTCAGTGTCACATTACACAAAACAAATGGAGTTAATGACACAAGAATAAGCAAATCTTCTCCAGGAAAAACCGTTTTAACTTAAGCTGATTTAAGCAAATCTCTTCTAGGAAAACCTGGTCTAGATAGAGCTTCTCTGGGTAAAGTGGTTCTAGATAAAACAGCTCTGGGTGAAACCGTTCTCAGTATCGCTGCTCTAGCTGAAGCTTTTCTAGGAGAACGCAAACCTATGTGGAGCTGATTCAAGTAAAGTTGCTTACGGGAAGCTTTTCTAGATAAAGCGGTTCTAGTTGAAGCTTTTCTAGTTGATAAAGCGGTTCTAGTTGAAGCTCTACTTGGTAGAGATGATGCATGTGGAGCCATTCTAGGTAACGCTGATCTATTGGTGGAGCTGCATAGGGAAAGCTTCTCTACATACAGATGATCTTAGCAAAAATGTTTAGCTGCCAATCAGAGGAGGCCACTGGTTGAATTCATTTCCAGTGTCTATCTTACTGAATGTGTTCACATTCAGACTGGGCTGCAGCTAACGATCATTTTGCAAATCCATTAATCTGTCAAATATTTTTTTAATTAACAACCGGATAGAAAATGCTTCCTTAAAGAAGATCAACAAAGTTAAATCAGGTGAAATTTTTCCACTAGAGTCCTGGATAGATTAGGAAATTATTGAGAAAAAAGTTTTTTTTTTTTTTTTAAACATCGTGAATAGAAAAGGTTTATATTTAGTTATTTTTAAAATGTTCATAAAGTTACTGCTTTAAGTGGGTTTCTTTGTCAGGCAAGGCATGTTTTAGAGTTTCTATACTCCGGTATCAATTAATCGTTTACTAAATTAGCTGACAATTTCTTCAATAATTCATTAATCCGATTCATTTTTTTCTCCCTAGATTCAGGCATCTGTATTTAC